TAGACATTGCAATGCTTGTGAAAGCCACACGGCAGTGTCAGTTTCCCATGCATGTGACAGTTTCCATGTCAGAGTCTCTTCGTTTCCCGCCTGGTTTTGCATGAACTGGGATTTCTATCTGGATTTCTCCAAATTGCTGCTTGTGTGTTGTTTTTACTTGCGTTTGACAAATTGCTGGGCTTAATTAGTATCCGTATCCGCGAAGATTGCGAAGACTATATTGGAAAGCGCACACTGTAAGGCGTTAAAAACACCGAATCCCAAACGGCACTCCCCCACACCCCCAAAAGAAAGCGATCCTGATGCATCTTCCCAAGATCTTCGGCGAAAGCTGGGGAGGCAAAAGGGGAATGCGGTGATCCTGTGTTTGACTTAGTTCCCAACCAAATGCGGCCAATCCAAGTACTCAACACCAGGCAAGCAAGACATTCACCATTTCGCTCCTCTCTAGGCGTTGGAGTCAGTTGGCAAGGCTTTGCCTTCGACTGGCAATGCACCAATCCACAACCCTCCAAAGAGTGCACGAAACATGTTTGCGGAGTTGTCCTTCTTCCCCATTGCAATGTTTAGGATGTTAAGGGCATCCACTGCACCTCGTCGTACCTCGGGATTTCCGAAAAGGTCTCCTAGAAAGGCAGTCCGTTGGGTTCCTGGAGAATTTGTGCAAGACTACTCCGACGTTTAACCTACATCACCGAAGTGAGTGAGAACATGACGAGCCATCAGCCAATCTACTTTTTTGTGATAACCATGGATGCGACCTGCTTGTCTAATGTGGGTTGAAGATGTAACCAACAAAAGGATTCTTACTCCATTTTTGCTGTTGCAGCCAGTCATTGCGCGTTTGTTAGTGCGTGTGACGGACAACACTATGAGGGCATTAATGTAGGGCTAGCCTGGATGAGGCTCGGTGTAGAGAAGGACCCTATCCAGTTGCTCGAGTCAACTGCCAGCGGTTTTGGACAAACCATAAAGTAGTGAAGTGCTTTCCTGAACATCAACATGGGACGCGCCATACAAAGGCACTACTTAAGCCACTCAGGAGACATAACAATGGTAAGTGGGTTATAACTATGATTACTACCCACTTACTATAAGAACTCTGCTCCTTAAAGTACTAGCCCTTATAGTGGGCCTTACTCGCTTTCAGCCCCTAAGATTGGGGAAGCCTATTGGAAGGCCCTTAGTAGCAAAAGCCACGTCTCATGTCCCGTTACCGGCAACCAGGGTGGTGTTTACCCCGCCTGTGGAGCCTCTAGGTACAGATCGCTGTGCAGCCCTTGTGCCTTTGGCATCGATATTGGATTTCGGCGGAGACAACAACAGAGCCTGGTAGTCGTTATCCTCTTGGGTCGGCCAAGTTAGTAAGTTAAGTGTCCAATCCATAGCCGACTTGGAGCACTCCTCAGCCCAACATCCGAGTTAGCCCTAGCGCCAGGAAGGCCTAAGGCCCTTTTGTCAGGCTCCAACTTGGTACCTTTCATTGACCATTCGCTGGACGTGAACTGCAACGGTCAAGGAATTGGAGGGCGGATATGGGGGGATTCACCAAAGTCCAATTTGGTTCAGCGGGGCGCAGCGAAATCCTCGTCACCGGTCTGGGGTTACGCCCGATTTTCGCCTTTGTATATTGCTGCGACTACAAGGAAGCAATTCATGGGACACAGACATACCAAGTATCAGTTTGCTTATAGGAAAAGACCCTGCTCCGTGAAATCCAGAAGGGCAACTTGCGCAGAGCAACTTGTGCACAACAACTTGCGCAAGGCAACTGGCTCAGGCAACTTGCCACTTTCGAGCCGGAGCTCCGGGAGTGGCTTCGATCACTACTCTCGTACTTTAAAGTTGCAACTTTCGCGCCGAAGCTGCGCAATCGCACTTCGTGTGCTACTTGCGCACTTAAAAGTTACAGAAATAATCGCACGGCGCCGCAGCGAGAGCGCTTCGACGCGCACGATCCCCGCAGAAGGTTCATCCAGCACTTCGCAAATTCGCACGGCGCCAAAGCGAGAGCGCTTCGCGCGCGCGAGCGCCCGTGCCAGTGGAGCCCTTTCCGAGACCCGCGCGCTAAACAGAGGTAGCCTGCGCGACTTTATCTCCTTCTTTGCACTTCTTGCTTGCTTTGTTACTTTGGTTGCGTGGCTCGTTTGACTCATTCAGCTTTTCGTGGTGCGGAAGTTTCCTGGGCAAGCTTCCTGTGGTCATATTGTATTGTATTGTAGCGGGGCCTATCTTAAAACATGCCAACATTTGTTGAGAAGGCTGACCGTGCGTTAGACACGCAGAAGAATGCCTTGCATGCAATGGTCCCCCGAAGGCCTTTCAATGGAGATTCCTTTAGTATAGGATTCCAGGCCAATCGGAGTCCCTTTCCGACTGCCTAACTGATATGAGCTGGAACTGTGAACTGCTTGAACGCCTTTGACGCTGTCAGTGAACTGGGGAGTGCCATTGTAGCGGGCAAGAAGTTTCGACTTGTTCAGGTACCCCTTACTTGGTCGGTGGTTTGAATCTTAACCCCTAGTCCTTGTGGAGGCCCAAAGAGGAAGGCAACCCTAACATCCAAACCACCAAACAACCAGCACAAACCTAATTTGTGGCCAAACCATTCAGGAGGCAATTCCTGCTTGGTATGTTACTGTTTAGATCTGCTCTACACTTATCCCACTGAAATGGGGCTCACCAAGCTGGCTACTTCACTGTGAGCCCTACAACCTACAGGAATATTGCCAAACATCAAGCCCATGTTTGGATCGTGTTTGGAAGGACATGGATCGAAATGCAGCCATTGTAGGGTGCGGTACCCTTCTCCAGGCAAGATTCATGCATCAGCTAGTCCTTCCTGAATCCCAAAGCTTCCTGCCTGAGACTGTTCGTTTCAGAGGATTCCCGTGGCCCCAAAACCGGGATCGAAGAGTATGCGTTTCGAGGCAGAGATCGGTTTCCAAGAACAAGTTGCATGACCCCAAGGTTCATGGAATCCATTCGGACGCAAGCAGAGGCTAGGTCCATGGGCACTGAGGTTCAACAGCCCTTGCCCTGCCGAAGCTACCGGTAGAGCCTTTGCCGATTTTCGGCCGCCGGCCGCGCCGTGCGGGGTCGCACCGACCTGCCAGACTGCCTGAGCCAACGGGAGAAGCTCCCGGGTTTCATAGAGCTCACGACCGGATCGGCGAAAGACGAATGCCCTTGGTTCAGTTTAAGGGTTAGTCACGGTGAGGCTTTGTTTTGGTGAGGCTTGTGCTGGCTGCGTAGTTGCCTCCATTGCCTTTCCACTGCGCCTAGGGAAGGCGAGTAGCACTGCCTTCCTGAAATGGCCTAGAAAACACCCACACATGAATGCCCTCTGGTTTTTTCGGGGATATGCCTTGAGATGGATGCTTTCATCCCGATTTCTTTCGCTGATTTACCCGGATCTACCCTATTTGCCAGCCGCGTGGCAGATGGGTTGCTCAGGCAGCTTGCTCCGCACTGCTTCGGTCTGCGCCGAGCTGCACAGCAGGCAGACTTAGTTTTGCGCTGCTTTACTGCACTCTTCCCTTGCACAGACTGAGCTATTCAGCTCCAGAAAGGATTTGCAGCGCCGCGCGGAGGGCGTAACGGGAGGCGATGTGAGCCGTCAGCGTGTAGAGGGGAGGACATTGGGGTGCACCAAAGATGCCTCTAGCATGTAAGGCCCGTACGAAGTCCCATTGGGAGCACCGACTGACCACTCTCATAAGTACCATAACACGTACGTATTCGAATATTCGTGTTCTGTTCGTGACAAGCAGAGGCCAAGTGATGGTTCCGGGACGAGATGGTATTTGGAGGGGCCGGGTACCGACATGGACGGCTGAGTTGTTCTTGTGGAGGCCTGCTGCGGGCAAACGAAACGCAGGGGAGGCTCCAGGCTCTGCCGGCCAAACGTTCCACCGCTTCATTGTTTGTTTGGTTGCCTGGTGGGCTTCCGTTTCAACTCCAAAAGGGATCACGTTGGAAAGACCCAACTAACCCATCTTGTTTAAGTCCCCCCCCGAAAGGAAATGAGAGCAAGGCTTCTTTCAGACCTTCAATGCGAGTTGCCTATCAGAGTTGCATTGCCTTTGCTAGGTGAGAACTGCCTGGACACAAACCCAACCTTTTTAGGGAGTTATATCCTCTTTCCAACAATCATGGAAGTGGACAAGGATGTTCGTCAAAACGAAAGAGGTTGTTGTGCACCTGCCGTTTAGCTTCCATATTTGTTGGAGGGAGGGTAGACGTGAAGCTACTTTGCAATCGATTTCGAACCCCTGATGAATTTCATTCCCCTCAATCTTTGGGGGGCATGCCCTCAATAAAGTGGCTTTTGTTTGAACATGTTCCGTTAGTGGACACGAGGAACGCACGCATGTTTGTCCCATTCTGGAAAGGAGGTTCGAATTCCGGCAGCGGCTAGCGCCACAGCCGCGTTGGATTGCCCAGTAGGCCTGCGCTTCCCTCGCGAACTAGACGTGAGCCTATGAGAAACGCTGTCAACCACGGGCGTGTGGCCTTGTGGTTCCATGCCGGTTTGGACAACAGTCGCCGCACGTTTGGCAAGAACCCGGAAAACCCTGTTTTATAAAGCTATAGGCGCCCCGAAAAACGAAGCCCCTGGGTCGACAGGGCAAGGAAGAATGAAGTCCGAACGATGCTTTGAACGCTGCCGGAACGATACCTGCTGGTTGCAATCCTAGCCGTGCTGCACCAAGCTGACTGCTAGCCTCTAGCTGCTAGCGCAAGGAAAGCACAGAATATTGCTCAACTTAAACCATTGAGGCAAGCAGAGATATGACACTTTCCAACTAGAATAGTGAAAGGTAGGCGCTGGGGGGGGCACCATATGTGCATGTACATAATATATATATATATATATATATGCATGTATATATATATATATATTATGTAGATATATACATATACACATTATATATATATATATACACATGCGCATATGTATACATATTGTACCTCCTAAACTTCGAACTCTCTGTCAGGTGCACCTCCCCCACTTTCACTTCCAGCGGGACGCAGGGGTCTCAGGTCCTTTGAGCCGACAGATTCATCGAACCGAAGTTCGCCAGGGACACCACCAACGGAGGGCACCCCCGGCTGTCTTCAAAGCATAGCCCAAAAATGTTTGATAGGGTTTCAGAAGAATCAAGTTGGAATGCACTTCTAGCCATCTAGAGACGCTAGAGATGGGATTCCTCTTTATACTCACACCAAACGAATCAAGGGTTGAAACCAGGTTTTCTTTAGTTGTCCTTCACCAGGCCCAGTTTTAGGTAGGCTGGCTTCGCCGTTTCGCGGCACCAAACAGAGGGGGCAGCGCGGGGGGGGGGGGGGGGTGGTGGTTCTCGTATGGACAAACTCCACGTGGACCGGCACCAGTTATGGAAGAAATCCTTCTGCGGATGGACGAAATCCATTTCGCACCACCCAAGAAACTCTGGATTGATTCGATTCCCCTGTAAATCCAACAAATGGTTTCGACCATGGTTTCAGTAACCGTAGTGCGATTTCTGGGTTTCGGAACCATCCAGAGTATTTGCTCACTGAAGCAAACCACTCCCAAGTGGTGCGGTTCAATGGATGATTTCTCCAAGCCAGGCAAGCCATACCCGAGAGGATGGGAATTGCTTCTGGGCCAAGCCGGCAATTTCTCACGAGCAGCTGATTTTACCTGCTGGTTCGATAGGCAGGGAATGAGTTGGAATGAGCCCAAGAAAAGCCCTCCCGATGGTTTCCTTTGAGGGAATTTCAGGTTCGTTCCCAACACCCTGGGTCATTCCCTATATCTATCGCACCAGCAAGTTTACTGCAAGCAAGCGGGGTTCCCAGAGGTTTCACGGCGAGTGGGAGTATACCCCCAGAGAAGGTATGAATCAGTCAATGCGCGAGCTTGTAAATGTGGCCTACTAAGGTCCATTTCGTTTGTGCCTCCATTTCAAGCTCGAGAAGGGCTTGTTTGACACGAAAATCGTTTGCTGGGTCTGTCCCTGGACGGGATTCCAGCTCCCTTGAAGGAGACATGTCCTGATTTTCGTGCGGGATAGCCCCCTCAGTTCGGTGAGAATTCTGATCGTTCCCAAGGATAGGTCAGAAACTGTTGCCCTTCAGTGGGATTTCTTTGGGTTTCAGCAAGAGCTTGGCCACTCAAGTAAGATTATCTTGGTTTCAATTGCAAAGAGAGCGAGGGCATGTCAATTCGTGAAACAGCTGGAAACTGCGCTCGCCCGGATGCAACTCGCGGCGCTCAAACGGGTTCATTTTGTTGGCCTCGGAACCAGAGGAGCTTTAAGGAGATGGGGTTCCTTTCATTCCGAACCCAAAGGGACCCTCCTGAAAAGTCTCCCCTTTTTGTCAGGCGGAATCTTAGGGACGTGGGTCCCACGTGCTGTTCAGCCCATCGGGTGACTCGCTGAGGAGTTTGGTCAGGCCAACAACGACGGACCACGGAAGCGGAAGTGGCAACAGCCACAGGACGAAGATTACGACGCTTGGAAGGAGCGGAAGGCTTAAAAACCCGGACGGGAGCGTGGCACGCGCAACGAGAAAAGCGAGTCTTGGGGCAAAAAGACAATGTTTCCCCTCCACCCCAAGGCTCCCCGGTTTCTGGCTGTTCCCTGTTTCACCGGTCTCAGGCTGGTTGGCGTTTTGCTTGGCAAACAACCAGCAATAGTTGTGGCACTTGTCACATGGGTCGCAAGAAAACGTTACCCGTTCAAAGGCGTAAGATGACCATCATTCGTGCACCGCACTGAGGAAGCTGACATTTTGCAGGCTAGATTCGCTCCACAGGGCAGCGCAAAGAGCTGTGATGTGTCCAGAGCCAGTTTGCCTGGATCATTCTTCCAGAAACTGAGGTCCGCAGAGTAGGCCTCAGTGGAATCTTTCTGGCCAACGGTGACTAGTCTGAGAACTTGTTGCAGGAACAATTTGAGGCAACGAATTTGAGGTACCGGGGAAGCAGCCCCAATTTGGGGCTGGCCAAAGAGGCAGGTCCGAATGGCGAAGAAAGTGGCCAGCCCGAATGGCGAAGATGGGCATCTAGCCCGCTCAGCTTGGCTGCAGGGACAACTGAAACTGCAACGGCAGAACAGCAAAGCAAATGAAAGGCTCCCCACAAATTCGGATTGTCCTTCATGTCACTTGCGGCCTGTGATGCAACAGCTCAGGCGAGGTTCCAAATGTCTACGGCTGTCTAGGCGTCAAAGCACGCTCAGTGAAGTTTGCCAGAGCCTCCCTTTCAGGAGCAGGGTCGTCCACAAAGGGTTCTTTTGCCATTCCAATGATAAATGACAGTAGTCAACTGAAAGGTACAACAGAAGTGAAGAGGAGATAGTAGATATTGCCACAAATCTGTTCAGGAGGAAGCAGATTGCTTGTTGGCACCGGTGATTGCTCGATCAAGAACATCTTGAGTGCTGACAATGGCTTTTTTCTTTTTTGTTGTTGTTCGGAGGAGATTCCAATCGAGCAACTATTGATCCGAAGTCTTACACATGATGCGATGGTCCAAGCACCCGACCTCTTGTGGAGAACCCCTCTACCGGCACGCAACATGAAGCAACCATTACATCGGCAATTCGGATTGTTCCAATCAAACCGCAGTGAAGGAGCAGCGGCTTTGATTCGTCATGTGAAAATATAATGCTTCATGCATTGTACACCTCGAGGGTAGGTGAACCTGTAAACTCACCAGGGTCGCTGATTAAGATTCACACCCATATGGTTAGTTATATGTCCGTCAAAGGGTCCCCCATTGATGCTGTTCACCAGGACACTGACTGGCGCGAGGGCCGCGACGACTGGTTCGATGGCCGCCCCGAGGCGTCCGCCGTTGCGACCCTCCGAGTTGCGAAGTTAGGCGGTGAGAGTTTTTGTATTTTATTTATTGTTTTCTCGTGGTCCCTTGTTTGAGGTGGTTGTAAATGGGCCAGCAAAAAGAACCCCCCATTTTGAGGGTCCAGTTGTTTGGGGCACCGTGTCCGGCATGGCGAGGCTTTCCGCAAAGTCGGCCCGGACTGGGAGGACAAGACCTGGCGCGAGGGCCAAGCCAAAAGTGGCAAGAGCTTGACTTACCTCGGTGCAGTAAATATGGCCAGGGCCACGCCAATAAGCTAGGTCCCCCAGCTAGGTGCCCTTTCTCTCCCTTCTTTGGGGGAGGGTCCCGGTCCCCCTACTAAAATCGACTACAGAGAAAAGGGTACCCTCATTCTAACTTCTCTACTGGAGGACCTAGTAGGGCAAAATGGGTGGTTCACGCTTCAAAACCATGCGAGATGCAATGAGTTCTATGATGGCCCTGTGATTCGATGTCTGATCAAAGCACCATGAGTTTTCCTCGTCCAAATGTTGAAGGTGGTTGAACATGACACTGCCCCTTTTGGTTGCCATGCGTTTTGACCAAAATGAACCGTTTCACGCCTGCCTTGTGGAGAATCACATGCTTCCCCACGCATGAGAACGTTTCTGTTGGTTTCCAAGGCCAACTTGGTTTATGTTTATTGTTGGAGCTGCGACCTTTCCCTGTATGGACTGTCCACTGATCCATGTCATGGCTGAGAATTCCTTGTCTGGTTGGACCGTAATGCATTGCCACGTACTCAACCCTACTCAATGAAGCATTAGCATATCCTACACAGAGGAGGAACAAGGCATGTGGTTTCCCATGATTTGCTCCACCACGAGGGATGCATTGACTCATGAGTTTGGGGTTCATCCAGACAACCACTAGATGTTCATACGCGTTCATAGCAAGGGGTCAATATGGCGTGTCTTTTTTGGGGAAGCGCTATTCTTGTTTTTGTTGTTTTCAGGGACACCAAAAGGAAACCGTTACCATTTTATGGGCTTCCCAATTTTGATACAGAACTGCTGCCTCATTTTGACACACAAGTTCTACATGTCAAGTGTCCCCTCCCCCTACTGCCTCATTTTGACACACAAGTTCTGCATATCAAGGTTCCCTTCCCCCTACTGTGGATGGACAAAATCCTGCACCACTTTGAAACCATGGTTGCAACTATTGTTTGTTCGTGCTTACAGCGGAATCCAATCATTGGAATGAATCTTAGCTGATGCCTAAGAGTATTTCTTAACCATCCACAGTACCATTTTGTGGATTTCCCCATGTTTGGGTTCCCATAGGATGACATTGAGCCACAAGAACACCGATGGCTCAGGGACGCACGCCCGGAGCCGCGACCAGCCGGGGTCAAGGCACGGGCCTGCTAAGTGCGTGACTTGCCGCTGGATTTTCCATTGGCATGGCTTTTGCCTTTTGATGTGTTAAGGGCATCCTTTTCCTCTTAATGTTTGAAGGGCATGTTTTTCCCTTGATGTTTTAAGTGCATGGTTTTGCCTTTGGATGTTCATGTTATTTGCTTTTGATGTTTGAATGGCACGATTTGTTGCTCTTGATGCTTTAAGGCCATGCCTCCTCCCTTGATGTTTTAAGAACGTATTTTTCCTCTTTATGATGTTCGAGCATGGTTTGCCCAAGAGAGGAGAGCATGTGTTGTCTTTGATGTTTTTAAGTGCATGATTTGTCTTTGGATTTTCTATTGGCATGGTTTTCCTCTTGATGTTTGCAGGGCATGTGTTTTGCCTTTTGATGTGTTAAGAGCATGCTTTTTCTCTTGATGTTTTAAGTGGATGACTTGCCGCTGGATTTTCGATTGGCATGGCTTTTGCCTTTTGATGTGTTAAGGGCATCCTTTTCCTCTTAATGTTTGAAGGGCATGTTTTTCCCTTGATGTTTTAAGTGCATGGTTTTGCCTTTGGATGTTCATGTTATTTGCTTTTGATGTTTGAATGGCACGATTTGTTGCTCTTGATGCTTTAAGGCCATGCCTCCTCCCGCGATGTTAAAAGGACGTATTTTTCCTCTTTATGATGTTCGGGCATGGTTTGCCCAAGAGAGGAGTGCATGATTTGTCTTTGGATTTTCTATTGGCATGGTTTTCCTCTTGCTGTTTGCAGGGCATGTTTTTTGCCTTTTGATGTGTTAAGAGCATGCTTTTTCTCTTGATGTTTTAAGTGGATGACTTGCCGCTGGATTTTCGATTGGCATGGCTTTTGCCTTTTGATGTGTTAAGGGCATCCTTTTCCTCTTAATGTTTGAAGGGCATGTTTTTCCCTTGATGTTTTAAGTGCATGGTTTTGCCTTTGGATGTTCATGTTATTTGCTTTTGATGTTTGAATGGCACGATTTGTTGCTCTTGATGCTTTAAGGCCATGCCTCCTCCCTTGATGTTTTAAGGACGTAATTTTCCACTTTATGATGTTCGGGCATGCTTTTCTTCTCGATTTTGCCCAATCAAGAGGGCATGTGTTTCCTCTTGATGCTTTAAGTGCATGTTTTACAGCACAAACAAACACATGGTTGCTTTTTGATCATGGCACATTGGGGTGTGTAGCAACTAGGATTTTGAAGGGTGATGTTTTGAACCCAACAAATTACGCTCCGCCTAAAGTGAGATGAAAAGAGACACTGGCATTCAGATGCTTGCCAGATGTCCGGCGGCATCTTCATGCGCGCAATGGCGCGGGCGCCCGCTGGTCAATGGTGGCCCCGCTGACCCTGCGAAGTCTTCAAATTGGAAGCGACAACCCATGGGCAATCTGTGACTGGCTGTCCCAGACTTACGGTGGTTTCTCCCACAAGTATGCAAACTGATGTTCTTCGGTGTCCTGTATTTGGGATGCCAGCATACTTGGATGTGCGCTTCGCCAAGTTAGTGTTTGTGATTTGCCACAAGGTTAACGCCACATTCAGGGGGGACTTAAACTGGGTTATAGCCTACTGCGCTACTGTGGATGGACGAAATCCTGCACCACTTTGAAACCAGGCATCCACAGTAGCAACTCGCCAAATGGGCGAATCGAACACGCAAGTCAGCTGTGATTCAAAAAAGCACAATCCGAAGCATCCCAGCACATGATTCCTGTCGCGCAAGGGTCAAAGCAAGAGACCGAAATGAGCAGGTTGCAACCTGTTAGAGTTTCCGAGCCATTTCCCTTCTTCGAAGGTCCGAAAATAGAAACTTTGTTCAATGGACACCACCAGCAAATGGATTTAAGTCTTGGTGGGGGATTTTCCAGTGACACCTGCATGTGGTTTTGGAGTCCAAATTCCCAAAGCCCTCACGAGTTTCTTTCTTGGGGTCCCAATTTTGTAATATTTCGCCGGTGAATTCCTGGATGTGTTCAGAGGGTCCATGCCCACTTCATTCAAGCCTCCATGCTTCCTTCATTCAAGCCTCCATGATTCAAAGATGCAAGTGAAGCTCCTTTATGCACGTTTCATGCTAGCTTCCTTTTTACATACCAACTTCCGAAACCATACGATTGGTGCTACGAGCCTTTTGACGCGAACCAACAATTCTTCCCAAAACTGGGGACCCCGTCGAAATGCTTGGGTTCCTTTGTTTCCCTTCCCTATCAATCTAAGAATGGGTCCAGACAGGAATCCAGGACGTGCCCCAATTGCGTTCGACATCATTTGGGTGTCGCCCAAAATTAAAGAGCCAGGGTTGCGCAGGTTTTAGTCTTTGGTTCCATTTACCAAGGTGCCATTTTGGTACATGCTTTTGAGCCGTTGCCATTTGGTGCCACATTAGGGCGCCATCGTGAAGAAGACGGATGACGAGGATGGCAGGCGTAAGGGAGGAGCTGTACTGCTCAGCGTTGGCCGAGTTGGACTTGGGGCGAGAGAAAGAAGCAGACTGACATGGGGAGTGGTCAAAACTATGCAACAACTGCCCTATATAATCTTGAACAAAACACGTATTGAAAACATGTTTATTGAGCTTTTGCGCCTTTGTTGGAAGCTGGCCCCAAGCTCAAGTAAAGGCTGTTGAAAACCATGGGTTTTGAAGAGTAGGACAAAGTTTTCTGTGAGTCATCCAGTAAACGAATGTCGCTCTTTGGTTGGACGCTCCTCATTTGGCAACCATGTTTGGTCGAGGTCCCACAAAAGCTGCATTCCGGTCCGTTTGTGCAAGCCAGCTTTGGCATGAGGAGTTGGACTGCTGATATTGCGAGAATATGTGTGTGTTTGTGCGGGGTGCTTTGTCTGCCAAACTTGCGCCATGATCACAGTAGCAAAGACATTGTTGGTTGCTGAAAAATACCTTGGGTGTCTTTTGCTGATTTTTGTGAGTACCCTCAGTACATGGGGCGTTGGCCTTGCGGCAAGAAAGTCCTCTCTAAGCGTCACCTATCACGCAGAGGTGGTTGGGAGAGAAACGACCCGTGTGTCAAGACCGGTTGCACATTCTGAGGATAATTTTGAAAGCGGACCTTTGTTAAAACTAATCGATCCGCCTAGAAATAGCTCTTTTGACACATGCCGACGTGACCCAAACGGAAGGAGTGTGCCTTTGCGGCCCCTTGCCTTACTGTACGCCTGGCTCAGAGTTGTGGCAAGGTTTTGGCCGTCTTTCTGCAGACCAAGAGCGACATTCACCAGGGATGTGTGCCATGTGGGCGACACGGAGGGCATGGTGTTCAACCGGCATTCGACCAATGCAGGACGGCGCAACATTTGGACTCACACCTTGACCAGACTGGTGCCACGACCGATCTGCGCGGCCTACCATGGGGTATCCTCCAATGTTTCGGGCCCTTGGTCATCATTTGGGCGTGAGACTTCACTTCGCGACCTCACAGAAACAATGAAGGCTTCTGGTTTCCCCTACTTCCGGTTGGCAAATTCTCCGAAAGATTTTGGCCTTCTGAAGCCTTCTGAAGCTTATCAATCAGGCCAAAACATGGTTTCTTTTCCTTTCAGCCTCCCATCCACGTGTTTGGCTGAAAAGGGTAGCAAGACCCCTGGGGTTGGGCTGAGCAAGATGTGTGCTGAAGTTACGCCCTTTGGTCTTTGGGGCTTTTAAAAGGGGAGAGGGAATCGAAAGGCAGACTCCCTGCATCGTTGTTTCTTTTGTTTGCAAGCGGTCCCTGCTTTTGGGGTGGTTTTTGAACGGAAGAAGAATGCCGTTGTAGTTGTCACTTGGAGTTGATGTGTTTTCAGGACACGCCTGCAATTTCTGCTCTTGCCATGATGGTTGCTTGGCGTGTTTCTTTTGTCGGGGCGGGTTTCAACAAAACAGAGAAGTTGTTTTCTCATTCACCCAGATGTGCCTGTTTTGCGGTTGGTCTCCTTTCCGGGGTGCCTGAAAGGGCGGTTCTCCAAATGCAATCCGCCAGGCCGTCACCCAGCGTGCCCAGCAAGCCGCGGGTGGTGCCCAATAACGTCCGGGCACCTGAGCCAGCGACTTCGATACTTCGATGCGACCAAGGGGCGATGGGCCGGTGGATTTTGACGCGAAGTCCCCCTAGCACCCAAGGAACCCATGGCTGACACCTTCACACCACTCAATGACTGCGGGTTTGTTCCACATGGAATGGAGGGGGGCCCCTTCCCAAAGAGAAAAAGAGGGTGAGTTCCTCTTGGGAATCAAAGAACGGCACATACTGTGGATGGGCGAAATGCTGCACCACTCTGAAACCGTGACACACCATTGTTTGTTGGTATTTGCAGGGGAAACGAATCAATCCAGGGCTTCTTAGGTGGTGAAGGATTTCGTCCACCCACAGTAATACCGGGACAAGCCACATCGTGTTTTTTAAACCCTTCTATCAACTTCCGTGATTCTTTTGAAAGAGGGTGATGTTAAAATGAGCACATAGATGGGCGTGTGTCAACGTGAAACCACCAGGGGACCGCAGGTTTTAGTCCATGTGTTCATTTGGGTCCTTTTTGGGTACCTATTTTGGACCCACAGCCAGATGGATTCCGCTTGTTTCAGTGTTGTTGTGAAACATATGAATGGAGCCCGCGGAGTGGAATATGTGCATGACATTACTGCACTCCAAGGGTGGTGGTGGGCCGTGGGCCATTTTGGCTCAAGGGCCCACCACCACCATACCTTGCTTTTTCTTCCTTTTCATGCTTGATGGTGGTTTGGGTGCTCCTCGCGTTCGTCCTGAATCATGGCGGCCTTCCCTATACGGAGGCCGAGGCGATGCGGATTCGCACGATGTCGGACCTGAGGCTTCACTATCAGGTGGACCTCGCGGTCTGGCAGGCAGTGACGGTCGCGATGGGCGATCCGGGCGAGGACATTCGGCCCTTTGCGGCATTGCCGGCTGCGATGGTGGCCTTGGCCTGCGAGTCCGCGGACAATGGAGGCTTGACAGCCATTCAGGCCTCACAGGTGGGGTTGATGTTCCGGCTGGCGAGGAGGATCTACCACGTGAAGAACGGTGGGTTCTGGGATCAGTGGGAAGACACCCTTGGGAAGCGCCAGTCAAGACCAGCGATGGCGGGGGCGCGGGCACAGTAGTTCAGAAGAGCCTGGAGCCCAAGATGAAGACTTACGCACATCCTGGACCACGGCGACGAGACGGAGTTCGTAGTAGAGCCGGAGGAAAAGAGGGCGCTGTGGGTGGCGAACTATGTCAAGGTAGTAGGCGGTCTCCCACCCGAAGAAGAGGAACCCTTGATGGAACAGCTCTCAGCTATGAGTCGCAGGACCGAGGTATTGAAAGCAGCTCCCTATGCAGACTTCGCGGTGTGGGTCCCCTACGGCAAGAAGGCACTTCGGACCAGCAGGTTCAGGGTCTACATCCCGACGTTGGAGGGCTTCATGACGCGAGAAGTTGCAGGGCCCACAACGTTCGAGATGTGGCAGGCGAGTTACCGAGTTTACCGGACCGCCTTGATCATGCTGGAGACGGTCCCCCTGGCCCATCTCAACGCCTACGAAACGCACATCGAGAAGTTGGTAAGGAACTTCCCCGGCTGTTGGCATCTCATTTGCCAAGCAGACGACCGAGGCAGGTCGGAGCACCTCACGAGGTTGAAGCATGGCTGGAGGAGTTGGCTCAGATGTTCCAGTGGGTTTCGACGCAGACAAGCCGTGGGCGACGCTGATGAGAGCACTAGTGGACGACGACAAGAACTGGAACGAGCAGGTCATCCTCCCGGGCACCGCTTGGATGGCCCAAGGCAGCCGAGGAGTCCCAGACACCCCGGAGGAGAAAATCTCTCGGCAGGTCACGAAAGAAGTGCAAGGTCGAGAGCTTGCAGGGAGCGAAGGTTCAGACAAGCCCAGCCGTTCTTCCCAGCGAAGAGAGGCCCGGAAGAGGAAGAGGCAATCTTGGGCCGAGGTTGGGAAGAATGCGAACGGGAACCACAACTCAGGAAAGGGAAAGGGAGGAAAGGGTTCGGGAAAGAATTCAGGCTCCCCAAGATGTTTTGCTTGGAACAATGGCAATGGACCCTGCGCAGATGTCCCACCTGGGGGAGCGTGCCTTGCCCCAGTGAAGAGGGAACACAAATGTACCACTTGCGGTTCCCCCGGCCACCCCTCGAAGAACTGCCCCAACAAGAACAGCTGAAGGCTCAAGCGTGGGGTAGGTTTGCCCTACTCTTCCAAGGCCACCCCGGAGAACATGGATGCGGGCGAGGCTGGAGGTTCGAGCTCATCGAAACGCTCATCACCGAGCACCCAGCGGGGGATGGGGCAGGCTCCACGAAGTCTAGAAGGGTGGTACTCAAGCCAGCAAGCCGAACCTTGCCCGAGGATGACGAGAGCATGAAGGTGAAGAGGGACGTGAATGAGGACCGGGGCCCAAAGATGTGCTAGGTCGCACGGTTAAGGAGGAGGCCCAGGATTGGGGCATCCAAGTTGAGGTCATGGGCGTAGACTCGGATGTGTCGGAGAACCTCCTAGGTCAGGGCATCCCGGGAGACCTGACCAAGGACAGGCCTTTCGCCGAACACCTGGACTTGGCGAAGGGAGGTCTGATAGATCTCTATCATGCGGGATTCCCTTGCTCCACCTTCTCCCGTTTAAGGTTCCGTCAGGCCCCAGGACTACCCCCACCAGTGCGCACTAAGGACCACCCTTACGGAATGCCTAACAACTCCCCAGCGCAACAGGCGGAGTGCGACAAGGGCACGGTGCTAGCTTCCAGGTCGGTAATGATGGCCAGAGCAGTGGAGGACAACAGGCCGGGTGACAAGGTGAGACCGGCAGCAACGCTGGAGAACCCCCCGCCATCTGATGTGGATCAGCATTTGTCAGCTTGGGAGTTACCTGAAGTGGCAAGTTGGGCAGGAGAGAGGAACAAGACCACAGCTTTGTTCAACACTTGCATCTATGAGCAGGGCACCCCTATGGGCCAGCGACACTTCAAACCGCAGAGGTTCACAGGGTCGCTCCCAGGAACCATCGCGCTGGCAGGAACATGCAAATGCGGGAATGCCAGGCACGTGCCCGTCGTAGGGAAGGACAAGTCTAAGGCATCGGCGGAGTACCCGTACGACCTGTGCAGGATGTACGCCGAGCTGGCCATAAGACACTTCAAGAGGATGGCCTTGGCGGAAGTGCTCAGTGCGCGCTTGGAGGTAGCTCAGTCTGAGGTGGAAGAACTCCGAGCCAAGGCAAAGGAGATAGAGAAGACGACCAGGGAGATCGTGGACCTGACCCACATGCCTGAGGATTCAGAACGGCATCCCAACGCGGAAGGCGAAGCTGGAGGATCAAGGGACCACATCTGGAAGGAGGGCACGGGCAAGTACGGGATGTTGAAACAGCCGGCCAAGAACTTCAGATTTCTTGGGGGGCATGAGGGACCCGGCTAGAGCGGTGGAGAAGCTTCCTTCGCTGGTTTCGCTCGGCCTAAGGGTCATGGGCTCTTGGAAAAGCTTTGTGAAGGACAACCCCCGAGCTTTGGAGGTGGCGGAGTCGTACGGCACGAAGGATTGCATTCTCGATGGGAAGCTCGCTGACATGTGGAAGGCCAGACTCAACCAGCTGGTGGGGACGAGGCCAGAGGCAGCTGTGAAGCTGAAGAGCAAGGGCGCCTACGTTTCGGAAGCCAATGCGGCGCTGCTGGAAGCTTGGGGCAGGAGAGGCGGAGACCCGGAAACCGAGGTTCCGACTTGGATCAGGGAAGGCGCCCCCCTGGGTATCGACAAGCCAATAAAGACATGTATGGTCTTCCCGGCCATGGAACCAGAGAGCCCAGAACCAGGTCTGCCGGACGCCCTAGCACAGCTGACCAAGGGGGACATGCTCAACTACGAGTCAGTGGAATCGAACAAGGCTGAGGCGGACATCAAGCTGAACCGATACCACGAGAAAGGGTACACCCAAAGAATCCCCCGGTCCAAGGTCATCGAGATGTATTCGGGTGGCACCATCTCGAGGCTTGCGCTGATCGTGAAAGTGAAGGAAAATCTGGAGGTCAAACGCAGGATAGTGATCGACTTGAGGCGCTCGCGGGGCAATGACAAGTCGGTCCTCCCGGAGAAGCTAGTGCTACCCCGACCTTGCGATGCGGTAGAGATGCTCAAGGATCAGCGACGGCGGCAACCGACTCACCCGGAAGATGACACCGTGGCGAGGGAACTGGTGTTGATCGACGTGTCGGACGCCTTCATGACCCTTCCTGTCCACCCGGATGAGTGGAAACACTGCCTGGCCCCGGCATCAGGCCGGTGGCTGGCAGGGACGTGACCTTTTACACCCTGCCGCCACCTGGCCTGCGGCAGGACCTGTGGGGCAGCGTGCCTAAGGAAAGCGCCGCTGTAGAACAGGTGGCCGCGAAGGATCCGGTTGAGGTAGGCTGCCAGGGACCGCCTCACCGTTTTGCCTGGACACCCTGCCGTGGGCGGGCCTACTTGGATGTTCGGCGGTGTTGCTATCTAGATGGCTTACTTGATGGACTTACTACATTGTTTGGCAAGCATAGCTAAGTTTGCCGCAGAGAGTATGTTGGAGCACATAGCGATGTGCGCTTGGCGAAGTTAGCGCAAGCTCGCTAAGTTAGACGGAGGACTCACTAAGTGTGCCTGGCAAACTTACTAACATCGCCCTGGCGAACTTAGCTCGCCTCATTTTTTGTAAGTTTTTCACCACATACCTTCGCACAAAAAAATATATCACGAACTTGCAGGCCACGCGGTGTCCTGCATTTTGAAAAAAACACATGACATAGCGCGTCGTAGAGAAGAACAAATGCTATTTTGTTTCTGCAGGGAGCTGGCGATATATTCGCATATTGTTGCGAATATGCGCACATCGATTGCATACTTGTATTTTTGCATTTACGAGTTCATTTTCAAGGGTTGAAGGAGGTTGGATACAAAATGGACTTGTTGACGTTTTCACAGAAGCGTATTCGTGCAAACCGAGCCAACCACATGCCAGTTTTTTAAAGGCTTCTTTGGGCTGGCGTGAG